TTTCTTCAGTAGCCCAAAATGAACAAACCAAACATCGCCTGTTGATAGGGCCCTTTGCGAGTTTCTTCTAAACACTTCACAGCCCGTTCTCATTCTCAAATACAGATGATGTGCAGTTGGTTGCAATCTGCTCTCTCATTTCTAGATGTCACTAAATCCTACACACTGGTCCTTTAAAACCTACAACTCCCAGCTGTCTTAGAAAATGAAATGATATACCTATTTTAGTTTTACATCTTAGAACTAATGGGCTTACACACTGAAAAATGCGCAGCATAACATCTTCAAACAAACAACAAACCATATCCCAACATTTGAGTAGCTGGATCCAGCTAGTGTTTGCTATTTTTTAGCCATAGTTAACAAGCAGCATCTAAACTGACTATTTTTTACTGACATTGATGATCCCCAATGGATGAAGCCGATACTGGTGATCCCCTGACATTTCAGCCACCTGCTTGTGACGTCCGACCAATGAAATGTCTCAAGTATTGGATGGATTGCCATGAAACAAACCTTAATTTTTCACTTACCTTTACTTCACTTTTCATCTAGCGCCACCGTCAGGTCAAATAGCTGCAAAACTGACGGCATTCCCGTCAGCTTGAGCTGCACTTCGCACTTTAATTAGGTAACTTTAACATGCTAAAGTAAGACGATCAATGTAACCTTTATACATGCTAAACATCAGCATGTTGACATTAACCTTTAGCTCAAAGCCCCATTGTACCAAAGAACAGCCTCCCAGAGCCGCTAGCATGACTGTCTTGTTGACAGTTTAAAAATGGCCAAATAGCCAAACTAACTACACAGCATTCTTAAGTACAATAATACAACAGCAATAAGAGTATATCAGTTATAACTGTAATCCAATTGAGTATTATGAGCAGACAGTTACAGAGAACAGAGAACCAGTGGTCCTTGAGATTGTGTCCAATTGCTTACATGCTGTAGAAACTGTTTTTTTAAATAGAGACTACATTAAAGCTGCAAAACACTGTGGAATAAAAGGAACAAAACAATCACACCATCCATTTCCTTGAAAGGAAGATTTGCACCTCTGGCTCCATTAACGCTCTTTCAACACGCCAGTAACAGCACAAGCCTGCAAATTGATATAAATAATAATACCAATAACAGCACATCCGTGAGCCACAAATGCTATTCAGTGATTAGAAAACTTGAGCCAGAAAGAGTCTCTTTTTAAAATATATTTGTAATAGGCTGCTGTTTGATTCAAGAACATGTTCTGTCCAAGGACGTGTTGTATTCTTATTTAAGTGGCTCTGTGGAATATTATGTACTACTGCTGTTGTACCTGTCTGTGGATAACATGCAGCTTTCAGACAAACAGCCACTGAAGCTCAGCTCTGAGTCTCTGCTGATCAGTTAAGTCGTAGATGTAATCGATCCAAATCATGTGGAGCGCTAATGTGACACATCTGAGGCTCACAAAAGCCCTCGAAAACAAATGGGCTGTTGCTTAAACTGGACAATACTTCAGATTTTTTTATTCCACAGAATGGCCAAAATATGAGAAAGATAATGATCAGTGCCAATGACTGTACGGTGACTCAGTCGAAGAGAGGTTTCTTCCTTTCAAAACTCTCTTTCCCGCCTCTGCTCATACTCTCAACTGCTCAGCAATCATATACGTGGCTGATTAATAGGACATATTGAGAAAACAAAACTCAAAATGGAGTTATTATGTTGAGACTACGCCTCACTCTCATTCAGTTTCCTGTTACCACTCAGTTCTCACATCCCTCCACCCAAATTCATTTGCTTTCTCTGTCCTTGCCTCTCTGATCACAGTAACCACAGTGAAATGATACACCTAATAATATATAATAATATTATTTCATTAATTTCATTTGAATAAGTGCCATTGTCTTTGTTAGTAAAAACCATTTACCATGCCTTTTATAGGACACTGCATGGCTTAAGTCCTGATTTTGCAAAATGATAAACACTATTACACCCTGGAATCATCTCCAGCTGAATAATTATTGCTGCTTAAAGAAGGATTTATACGTGAGTTTAAAAATGAAAGCGTTAACCCCCTATATGACCCAGATGTTTTCATGTTAAGCTAGTGACGTAGTTGGCAGATCAAGGTCACTGTGATAAAAATGTCATCGGGGAGTTTATGTGTACGTTCATATGCTGTGTGGCTATTATGTGGTATTAACACTCACAGTGTGATAATGCAGCTGCAGAGCCTCTGAGATACGAAAACAACATTCATAAATGTACAGGTCATAATGAAAACACATTGAAAAACAGTATCGGTGGTTGCCAACCTGGGGGTTGGAATCCCCCACTGAAAAATCAGATGATTGAAGGCATCAGAAGTAAAACAATGTCAGATCTTTTCTAACTTGCTCTAGAAATCCTTCAAATAAAGAGAAAAATCCTTTTGGATGAACTCCTGTCATGAGGAGTCACAAGCAGACATTGTTTCTTAAGTTAATATACTGTATTCCTTTGTTTATGCTCCCTCAAATTATAAAGAGAGGGAGCATACAAAGGAATACAGTGATGATGGGAAGTGGCTTAAAAAGGAGGGAAATGAAGGTGAAGATTATTAGGAAATGAAAGATGATGATGATGATTAGTTAAAATGATTAGAGCTGAAAAAGGTGTTGGTTAACTGGAATAATTGACTGACACAATTTCAGACATTTTTTAAGAACAAATTGTGGAAAAACGACAAATATTCTCTGGTTCCCGCTCCTTAAATTATAGCATTTTCTGTCTGTATTTGTCACACATCATTGTAGATTAAATATATTTTCTTTCTGGATTCTTGGTCGGTCAAAACAAGACATCTTAAGAAGCCATCTTAGCCTCTGGGAATTTGTGATGAGCATTTTCTTTCTTTATTTTTCTTTATTTACATAAACTGATAATGAAAACAGTCGTGGGCCATGTTCCATGTTGGTGTATAATAACCTAGAAGGACCAGAGCAATAAGTTTGTAAGTTAAGGTGATATATTATAAAGAATCCTTCTCATCATCACAAAGTTCTTCACAATAAAAGGCAGACACAACAGGCATAAAACTATAAACACATTAAAAAGAAGTTTCAAAATAAGAATGAATTCCACAGAGAGAGAGTTCTCAAACCTTAGGAGCAATAACCTCAAAGGCACAAAGTATCTTTTGGTTTAAAGACAAGGATAAAGATCATTTAACAAAATAACCCCAAGTCAAGGTCCACTGACGTAGCTCTTTCCAGTGATCTGAACCGTATCACACAGTCTTATCAGCGGACAGCGCTCGCTCAGTTGCCATGGAGATGTTCTGTTGATATACAAGCTCAGTAGCTGTGAGGATTTCATCCATAGCTGTCCATCCGTTGTAGAACTTTTTGAAAAGAATAAAGTTTCATTCTTAAGGATGATGATGATTATGATGATACCGGGGAAAATAGCTGAATAGGGAAGAAAAAGAAGGTGAAGGTCAGATGGAGGGAAAGAATTATGACGATGAGGCAACCCCATCATTCGTTTTATTCCTGTTATATTACCTCCCTTCATCATTTCCATCAAGTTGTTATTTCTTATCTCCTTCCTCCTCTGTCTACATCATCAGCTATTTCTGCACTCACTTCCTCAAAGTTCAGTACTCTGCTGTGTGTTGTGCCTGGACTATTTTTAACGACTGAGAATTCTTAAAAGTAAAAAAATGACCTAAATGACAGAAGAGTCTAATCTGTAGTTGAACATGACACATGGGCGCCCGCTGCGGCCCTTTCCTGCATGTCATCCCCTCTCTCCACCCCCCCTTTCCTGTCTATCTTCAGCTGTCTGTCAAATAAAGGCCAAAAAATAACTTAAAAAAAGAGAGAACATTACACATGAATTAAATGTTGATGTTTGTGTTAATGTTCATAGTACTCGCAGTCTGTAAAAGGAGCACGCTGTAGTAAACACAGGCTATGACACACTGGAAGTTTTCTTATCTTTAGCGGTGACCTCATACTTTACCATGAGTGACACTAAAATGCCCTTCTCGTCATATCCATTAGATATGGGGAGAATTTCTTTTGCCACATTTAAACAAACTGGTGGCTTGTTTACTGCCTGACTGGTTGTTAGTTTGGTGAGTAAAATCTTCTGATGACTGGTTGTTAGTTTGGTGAGTAAAATCTTACTATAAATGATAAAAATGATGATCAAAACTACAAACATTACACTCAAGGTTGTAATAAACCTAGAATTACCCCTTAGGGAAACATTTCATGAGACCTTTAAGGGATGAAATCATCCTCATTCCTCAGTTCTTTATCATCATCTCTATTTGGTCTCACTTGTTCTTCTTCGTCTTAGCTCAGATGCTGGTTTAATATGCTGGGAAGAAGAAATAATGATGATGATGATGGTAATAAAAACCTGAGCAACCTGAACAACCAGCCACCACTGGGTTTCAGGGTGTAGTTAGTTTCCCGTCATCTGGCAGGAAGCTGCTGTTGATAAAGAAGAAGATGATGATGATGGTGATGATGGTGATGATGAAGAGGCCCTCAGGCTGTAAACACTACCTGCTGCACTCTTTGTTATTCAGCAGTGGTGTTCGGCCCCAGCTGCTGCGGTGACGTTGCGTAACTCTTTTATTATCCCTCTTTGAATCTGTGTCAGGTCATGTTGGGAAGGAAGGATGTGATTCAGAATTCTGTCATAATCCACAGGAAATGGTACGACCCTGTAAGCTGCTGGTGGGTGTGGGAGTGTGTGTGTGAGTTGGTTTGTTTGAATGTCTTAATGTAAGCATGAGATTAGAGGCGGCAAGCCAGACTGGCGCTGGGTTGTACCAACCTCCTCCCTCTTATAAAGGATTGACCTCGCAAACTGTGGCCTAATATAGACCAACAGCCCTTTTGATTTGGAAATAACATGAGTTTGGAGAGGTGTGTGTAAGTGTGTGTATGTGTGTATTACTCAGCAACATCACCTAACCCTTAAGTAACTGCAGAACAAAGAGCAGGACAACTGAATATCCTTTCAATGTGTTTATTAGAAATATTTACACCATCCCTTCAGTCACACAAATTAAAAAGCAGCTTGGAATGTGAGGTATTTTTTTTCACAGGTCAAACATGAATTAAAACATTTCAGTGACATGAAAACACAACGTGTAGATTGCTGGGCTTCCAACACCATATGGCCAGCCTTTTCTTTTTTTCCAAAGCACCATGTGAACACAGTATACAGGAGAGTCCCCAAGCAGTAGCATTGATTTATCAAAGTCCACAGCAGCATTGAATGTGTGTGTGTGTGTGTGTGTGTGTAGAAATGTGTCAGGCAGTGAGTCTGCCTCAACTGTCCTTCCTCTTTCAGTGTTTGAGTCTGATATCTCGGCACAAAGGCAGGAAATTCCCTGAAGTCCAAGTTGTGTGTGTGTGTGTGCTGATCTGTGGTCAGCCGTTCACCACTTCACTTCTTCTGTGACTGACTCACATCACTCTGCTGATTCACACATACACACACTTTGAGTCAGCAGCAGATACTTGTTTGGACTCATTTTACTGGCGGTGAATCACCGTGAAACAAAAAGCAACACAGTTCCCCCTTCAGTTTCTTCCTCAAACTTTCCGGCCCGCAGCTCCCTCTGGCCTCTTTCAGTTTCTTCTCCGTCTCTTCTTGTTGATCTCTGTCGGGGCTTTACCGGCCCGGCAGGCACACTCAGATCGACCGGAGAGCTCGCATCATGGCCCGGGTAATCCCTTTGTCCCGGGACCGCCGATGTAGGTCAGCTCCTTGGTGCGCCAAGGGATCAAACTGCCCTTATAGGTTAACGAGGAGTTGAATCACTCCGTTCCAAAGTCCCATTGGAGGTTATTTTCTCCCCCCATCTGTTCAGAAGGCAGGTATAACCCGATTTAGAGACAAAGCGGCTAGGGACTCCCCGGCCCCGACGCGACAGCTGCCAAGCGGGGCCGCATACCTCTCCTCCCCAGGCTCCAGCCTCGCCCTCTTGCTGGGAAGGAAGTCAGGCGCCGCCGACGCCTTGCCCCGGCGTTTCCTGGACTGCCTCGTCGGGCTCAAGTTCTCTTTGTCCTCTGTGATTTCACTATCACTGTCTTCCTCAGCGGAGTCGGGCTCCTCTGAGGCCAGCTCGGCTGACTTCAGTGTCGGCTGGGGCTCAGGCTGAGGCTCGGGCAGCCCGGTTAGTTCCCCCGGGTTGGAGCCGGTGTCCATCGGCTCCTCCGGTGTCGGCTGCGCGCAGCTTGGCCCCTCGTTCTCCCGGGAGGAGTGGTAGATGTCGCGGGCAGACCTCATGACCAGAGAGAGCAGAAGGCTCCGGTGGAGTCTCAGTCCTCCTCTCTGGGTCCTGGAGGCGTACAGCTTGCTTATCGACACGGCCAGGATCCGTCTGGCTTCGGCGTTCACTTCCATAGCGGCTGTGGCACTCATTGTTGTTGTTTTTTATGCGTAATTGCGCACGGTTGTTTTGGCACTTTCACCAAAGGCTCAACAAGCAGGCGAGCTTTATCTGTCCTAAGTTAGACTTTAGTTTCTAGTTTGTAGTCTGTCTAAGCTCGGACTTCAGCTGTTCACCAGTTGTTGTACTCAGAGAAATGAGAGCGTGCGAGTAGCAGGGTGGCGTTTTATTTCCTCTTTGACGTAACGTGGACTTCATTCCTCAGTAAGTGACAAACAGGCGCCGCCCACACCTGCTGTAGCTGCGGCGAAAACACACACACACACACACACACACAGACACACCATCTGTTCCGTCTACCGGGGTTTCTCACAGTTGATCTCTTTTATTAGTTCGATTTCTGCTTTTGTCCAAGTCCTTTCTCGCTACTGCAGCTCCTTAAATAAAAGTCTAATTTAGTAGATTTTACTCTTAAAGGTCCAGTTCCATATTTTATTCTCTTTTTGTTAGCTTCCTTATACTATCCACATCAATAAAGAGGGTTTTTTTTCTTGTTATTGGGGGTAAATTATTTTTAACAGACATTATTACTGTAAATGTATTCGTATAATAACACCGTGGCATAACGGTTAAACCAAGATTATTATGAGCAAAAAAAAAACATTATTTATAGCGCATTTTATTCCAAGAAAAGTAAAATGTATTAGGCTGCAGTTGTACCTGTGTAGTGTATTAGAAAACCACTAAAACAATCAAACGTAATTGGATCTATAAGATATTAAACTGCTGATTAATCATGTTTCTGTAGTTGATTCTGGTGTCTCTAAAATGTAACATAGACTACAACTACACTACTACTGCAGACTAGTGTTTCTATAATGAATTCTCTATTGTACAGAAATGTTTCTTTCGGATAATACATTGTATTTGTAAGTTCTACATGAGTGATATTTCCTCCTTAAAACAGACCTTCAGCACAACAAGGGGAAGTGTTTGACAGGTTTACTGCGCAGTGTTTGAGGAAGTGGTATTAAAGCGATCGATTGTAAAAATGAGGAGGAGATCTAAAAGAGAAAAGTTGAGGAAGAGAGAGAGATTATGTCAGTGTTTACATTCTGATAAAAAAAAACCCCAGGCAGCAGTTCGAAGAATTTACGTGGGAGAAAGAAACGTGTCTCCAATTTCTCTGGAGTCTCTCTCTCTCTCTCT